CTTCAAGAGTAGGGCAGAGAAAGAGGTCCAGGGCACAACATCCCCCCCCCGCCACACACACACACACGCGTGCACACACACACACACCCCTTCACAGCAACACTCATGAATTTTCTTAATCCCAAAGGCTCCTTGTTCTCCAAGGTGGGGAGCGGCGTGGGTGAGGGGGCCCTGAAAAAGAACCGAATCTAATTCAAGGGTGCCCAGATCAGATGGGGGGGGGCAGTAAATCACCCCTCAGGCCTGCGGCTGCTTCAGTGGAAGCAGCTGTACGGTTTCTTTTCTCTTGACTACTTCAAGCAGGGTAGCCAGGAGGGCTTTGCTGGCAAGGAGGGGAAGGGCGGGGCCGGTGCCATGCCTGACAGCCCCAGCATCCTGCTGGCTTGGGGGCATCCCAGCAAGGTGTAGGGGTCAGGCAAGAGCGGGGCCCAGCTCCCCGAAGTGCCTGGCACTGCCGGCTCCCGCCCCTCGGAGGGGGCAGCGGGGCTGGCGGGGGGAGGAGGCGGCCCGGGCGCTCGCCCCTCGCCCGCCCTGCCTCCCTGCCGAGCCCCGGCGGAGCCGCGAGGCGGCGATTGGAGGCTCCGGGCTAGGACTGCCCCGCGTCCTATTGCAGCCCGCTCTGCACACTTGGTGCGGGCTTAAAAAATCCCATGGAGGAGGGCGGGGGGCGGGGGGAGAGAGGCAGAGGGAGCGCGGCGTGCAGGCAGAGCCCACCAGTGCTCGCGGGAGAGAAGGAGCAGGGCGTGCAGGGAGCCGGCCGCCGTGGGACCCCGCAGCCCGGCCGCGCCTCTGGAAGATGCTTCCTCCGCCCCGGGCGCTCCAAGGGGCTCCCTGACTCCCTGCCCCGCCAGGCCAGGGGCTCTTTGACACGCACGTGTGTGCGGGACCGGCTCCTGCCCCGCCGCTGCCCGCTTGCTCCTGCGCGGAGAGCCCGCCCCGCCTATGGGGCTCTCCCCCGGAGCCCTTCGGCCGCCCGCTGCCGCATGAAGCCCGCAGCGGCGCGGGGGGAGAGCGCGAGGAGGCCCCGAAGCGCCGCAGCCCACCTGCCCATGGAGGCTGGGAGCGAGTCCTAGCCGGCCCTTCGCCGCCCCCCTCCCCGCCCCGCGGACCCCGCAACATGCTGCCTGGCGCCGCGCCAGCGGGCACCCGCGCCTCCGCTCCACGGCTGCTTCCCGCCGGTGACATCCCTCCGAAGACGATTGCTCGGACAATTTGAGCGCGCAAGAGAGGAAAGATTGCAAGATCCCCCTCCCCTCTTCCCCCTCCCCACCAAAAAGGGGGGAGAAAGAAAAAAAGGGGGGGAAAAAACGCTTGTGGATCTCAGTGGGAAGCATCCGTGCAGGTAGCTCCACTGCTGCGTTCATCCCTCCCCCCCAACCTTAGCCAAAAGAAAGAAAGAAAGGAAGAAGGCAACTATCACAGGGTTACTATGCAATTGCGACTGATCTCTTGGTTCCTGATCACTTTGAACTTTATGGAATACATTGGCAGCCAGCACGCCTCCAGGGTACGGCGGCAGGGAAGAAGTAAGTGCGAAGAGATTGATATCCCCTGCTCACTTCCAGTCCCTTGTTGTGCTGATCACCTGCTCACTTAGCTCTCGAGTCCCCTTATTCTGCTGTCATGGGAAATATATATATATGTTTCTATATTTGCATGTATGTATGTATGTATGTATGTAGATAGATATTCATGTATATCTCTATATGTGTGTATATCTATGTGTATATGGATGCATGTGTGGCTATGCATGTATATGTGTAAGTGCATGCATACATACACTTGTATACATGTATCCCCAAGTGCATATATGCACACGTATATGTGCAAATATATATATGTGTGTGTGTATATATATATGTATATATATGCATGTATAGCTGTGTATATATGCATGTATATGTACGCATGCATATACGTCTATTTATATATTTATATACGTATGTACATGTATGTGTGTATGTATGTGTGTGCATATAGTTATATATGTATGTATGTGTATGTAACTATGTATATATATGTATGTATGCGTATATGTGTATATATGTATACATATGTATGCATGTATACACACATATATATGCACATATGTGCATGCATGTGTGTGTGTGTGTATTTATATCTATATGCACGTAGAGATGTGTGTTTATATATAGCCACAAAATCGCAGTCTCACCCGGGCAGATAAGCAGATCTGCAGTCAGATTCTCCGGGATAAGGTAGTCAGCCCCGCTTATGGGCTTTTTAGTAGGGGGATCCACCTCGTGTAACTGAGCAGAAGGATGTGCAGTGATTTGGGAGCTCCTCTGTCTGCTAGAGAAACGCCTTCTTACATTTCCTCCAGATGAGCTCGGAATTCAACTGCAGTTCACTTTGGTGGGGAGGGGGATGATGCTGTATGGTGTGCCCCTTCTCCCAGCTCTCACTTCACTTTTAAGGGGGGGGAGGGGGTTGTTTGGTTGGGGTTTTTTTGCTCCCTCATTATGGATTAGCCGGGCCACCCTCCCGGGTACCCTCAGCATCACCTGCCAGCGGTGATGAGTAAGTGGCAGGTTGGGCACCCGGGACTTGGATCCTGCCTGTGTCATCATTAGTCACTAGGATTGTTCACCTGAATGACGTCAAAGCGCGGGGGGTTTCTCAGAGTCCCGCCAGGAAAGACCCTGGTAGCAGTGCGTTTGGCTTTCCAGGACTGAAGGCTACCCTGTTCCCTCGCCTCGAGCTGCTTTCTTTCTTTCCTTCCTTCCCATCTGGAATGAGGAAACTTCCCCCCTTCCTTCTTCCCCATACCCCTGTGGGAGCAGCAGTGCGGAGCCCGTGCTGTGCTGGCTAGGGCAAGTGTATAGCTGTGAAGGCCCTTAGGTGCGCGGGGGGGTCCTGTGCTGGAGCAGGGCCGTGGGCTGCCGGCCGGAGCGCTGGGGCCGGGCTGGGCCGGGCTCGAGGCGGGAGCGGGACACCGCAGTAGCTGGAACCGCTTCAGACAGAGGCGGGGGTTGTGTGTGTCTGTGTCGGCGTGTCTGTGCGTGTGTTTCTTGAGCGTGTGTGTGATTCTGTATATGAGTGTGTCTGAGTGTGCGCGCGCGTTTGTGTCGGCGTGTCTGTGAGTGTGTATATGCGCGTGCCAGTGTGTCTGTGGGGGTGAGCGCGTGTGTCTGAGGGTGTGCGCTTGCGTGCGTGCGGTTGTGTATATGTGCGTGTCAGTGTGCCCCTGTGTGTGTGCAGCTGTGATTTGGCGTGTGCTTCTGTGTCGGTGTGTCTGTGCGTGTGTTTCTCGAGTCTGTGTCGGTGTGTCTGTGTGATGGGGGGGTGTTTCTGTGTCCGTGGTGCCTGTGCGCGTGCCTGAGTGTGTGCGCGGTGGTGTATATGTGCATGTCAGTGTGCGAGTGTGTGTCTGGCCGGACCCCGGGGAGGGGTCCCCTGCCCCCTCCCCCCCTCCCTGAGGCGAGCCGGCGGCGCAGCGGCGGAGGGATCTACCCCATCACTGGCGCCCCCCGGAGGCGCAGCCTGTCCCAGAGCAGCTCCGGGAGGAGCGTGCCCGGCTGCTTTCCCCGCGGAGGGGCCGGGGCCGAGGCCGGGGGGGCCGGGGCGCCTGCACCTTGCCCGGGCGAGCGGCGCTGCGAGCGGGGGACGGGCGACCCCTTGTGTCCTCGGCGGGGACCGGCAGCGCCCCGGGCTCGCAGGTGCAGCCCGGCCCGAGCCCCGTGCTGGGCG